TGTGAGTACATGCATATATAATATATATACAGACGGTTCTGTGTGACTGAAATATGTTACAACTTTTAAAAAAATTTGGTGGTGGGAGGGTTGGGGGGCAGGAGGTAGGGGGGTAAGAGATCAACCAAAGGACTTGTATGCATGCATATAAGCATAACCAATGGACATAAGACACTGGGGGATAGGGGAGGCAAGGGGACTTGTCTAGGGCGGGGGGAAAAATGGACACATATGTAATACCCTTTGTAATAAAAAATTAAAAAAAATAAAGACATCTTACCAACCTGAAAAATAAATAAATAAATAAATAAATTTTATAGAGGAAACAAGTAACATTAAAGTAGTTCAAGAAGTACACTAATAACCAAAATGTGTGGGGAAAAATAATCAGGCAGTTTTGATTTAACTCACAAAACTGAGAGGAGAGTGATCTACACAGGGACATGTGTATCCTGGAAATACAAGTGTGAAGATTTCAGAGTCAGAATTTATATGACTTCAATCTCCCCTAATTTCTGAATAAAAGCAACATCTTGCAGTACTTATACTTCATGGCTCAGACACCTACCTCACTTCTCTTTATTCCTCACTCACTTCTAGTCTTTACTTAAATTTTAAGTCTGAAAAACTTGGGGTTATAGGATAAGAAAAACACACACACAATATTCCCTTTTTGGTGGCTACTTTAGATCTTTATTACTAGAAAATTCCTCAGGAAAATTTAAATATAAGTCTGTGGCTTTGCTGAATCAAGTCCCCCAAGTTAATATTTAGAAAACACTCTTAGTTTGGGCTAATAGCATTATTGATTGTAACTATTATAGAGGGATAGCTGACCAAAGCCTGTGTCTCAAAACCAATGCTAAATCAATCTCAGGATTGAGCGAAAAAAAGGGAGAGTCTAAAATCACAAGAAAGGCAGATGTATCTAAGACCACTGTCCTAGATCCATGCATCCTTGAGGGTCCTCATCATTATAAGTGTTCTCTGCTATTTGCTGCACTTGCATGATAGTGGCTTCTGACAGAACAATCACCCAAAGTTCATTGGCATTCCAGGAGAAATCAGCTATCTCAGCAGTGTGACCACCATGTAAACAACAACTCCAGTGGCCCATCTTCTGTATCTTCTGGAGATTGTTCCTCTCCAATTTTATTTTAAACCCAGACATTCAGTCCGTGATCTGTATCTCCGGAAGCCAAAATAGTATCCTTGGGAGGTGACCACTGAACCTGGAATATTTCGTCCTTATGTGGTTAAAAAAAAATACAACTTAAGTTTTAGATTTATCAGATCCCACAAGGCAATGGTCTTATCAGCTGATCCTGGTGGCAAGAATGAACTCACTATATGGACTGAAAGAAAGGCAGTTCACTTCAATAGTGTGTGCATCAACTGAGTGGATTGATTTGAAAGTATTGTTTAGACAAATACCCCAGATCATAAGTTTCTGATCATCAGCAACTGACCCAGAGACTCATGGAGCAGATGCCAGGAAACATCTACTGCTGCATAACCTATAAAGGTGGTCTTCACATCCACGACTTTTTCTTCCTTTGGTACAGCACTGATGTCCCACAGGCAGGTGCTGTGATCATCTAAAGTGAGTGCCCACTGAAATTTGCATTTCAAGAAAGCCATAGCCTTCCTTCTGACGTCCACGGAGACACATGTCTGGATTGCACTCTCCAGAAGGAACTGGTTTAAAAGGCTATTTTGTATAGTCAACAACAAGAACATCATTGGATGGAGTCTTTGTTGCAATGATGCAAGATTTCTGGGGCATATAACATGCCGTTTTATTCCTCCTTCATGGTTGATCTTGATTTCTATTTCAACTTTTACACTTATAGAGCCAAAACCTCCAAGTTCTCCTTTCTCACTAT